CGTTGGCACTGCGAGAACAGGAGGAGTAGTTAATGCTTCTTTTAAGCGATTAAAGGCTACTTCCTGTTTTTCTTCCCATTGGAAGTTCTTCTTTCCAGTCACTGCATACAGTGGTGTAGCAATTTTGCTGAAGTCTTTAATAAAAGCCCTGTGATAATTGGCTAGGCCCATAAATCTTTCCACTTCCTTTGAAGTTTGTGGAGTTGGCCAGTCCTTTACAATTTTTACATCATGATCTGATACAGCAAGAGTATCCCCTGTTACTGTACGGCCTAAAAATTCAATTTTCTTTTGCAAAAATGCACATTTTTTAGGCTTTAATTTCAGTCCATAAGCTCGGAATCTAGTGAGGGCTTCTCTTAAGTTCTTTAAATGATCATTAAAAGATTTTCCTAAAACCACTATATCATCCAGGAAAGCTAGCACAGTTTCCCATGTCATTCCTCTAAAAACCAGATTCATAATCCTGGCATAGGTCGCAGGTGCTCCACACAAACCAAATGCCATTCTCACATGTTCATAGAGACCATACTTAGTTATAAAGGCTGTCTTTTTCCTGTCTTCTTCCCTTATTGGCACCTGCCAATAAGCTGAATTGGCATCTAACTTGGAAAAATAGACATTACCTGATAATGTATCAAGGCAATCATCCACCAGTGGTAATGGAAACACATCCTTTACCGTCACTTCGTTAAGTGCACGATAATCAATACACCATCTAACTGATCCGTCTTTCTTTCGAATTAACACTGGAGGTGATGCCCAATCTGATGTAGATTCTTTAATCACACCAGCTTGTAACATTTTTTGCAAGTGGGCCCCTTCTTCGTCTGCAAAACAAATTGGAGTCCGTCTCATCCGTTGTTTTATAGGTTTCGCACCACTGGTCTCTATCACATGTTCTATTGCTGTAAAATTACCTAGGTCGAATTCATCCTTTGCGAAAACATCCTGGTATTCTCTCAGTACTTGTGACAACTGCTCACACTGACCTACTTTTAGCTCAGTGCAAGATTCTTTAAACACCTGCTGTAAGTGGGGTGGTACATACATCTTATCATTGATCTCATTTTCATCTATGGTGATTTTATTCACCCTTTTGGTGACTGGATTTCCCTTCCTAGAAGTTGCATGTTTTTCTAAAGTAGCCTTTGCTAGTTTAGTTGCATCTTTATGCTCTGATATATCATAGCAAGTATTACATGATGGTAACATTACCTGCTCTTCTTCTTTCCCAGACGTCATTATTTGATCATAAACAAAAGCCCTTCCTATTTCAGCACCTTTCTTTAATAGGCGATGACGGTAACTAGGGTTAATTAGTACCATGATGGGCTCTGTCCCTGCATTACGAATTACCCTAGGTATTAGGAATTTACCCTTCATCCCTTCTGTTGGCTCAATGACATAATCAATTAGATTCACATCCATTACACATTGCACTTTTACAATTGAATTAGGAGGAATTACTTGACGTTTGAGTACTTTTACTCTTGCTACTTGTGGAGATGTCCCCTTTGGGTCATTATCCATGGTTAATGTCATGCCATCGTAATGCAGAGTTCTATTCTGGGTGTCAATTATAGCTTGACCCCTTTGGGTAAGAAGATCTAGTCCAAGTAACATGTCTTGTTCTATGGGTGCCACATACACCTGTTCTTGATACCATTTATTTCCTATTTTTAATTTCAATGGCCCTGCTGTGAATCCCTCCATTGTCATTTTGCGTCCAGCGCATAACATTTTCACATCATTCAATTTTCTAGGAGGATTCTTCATACTTTCATACACTTTGTCTGATAATATAGTTACATCAGCTGCGGTGTCTAATACAGCTTTAATCTCCTTATCTCCTACCTGTATTTTTAGTGTTAAGCAAGATGATGAAACAATGTTACATAACACTATTTCAGATTTGTCACTTTTGACTTCTCTGTTTCTCTGCATTTTTATATTCACATCCCCTTCCATTACTTTTAATGGAGGGGACTGAAGGTGTGATGATTTTCTCTTTTTCAGAGACTTAAAGTTAGGCTTTTCCTTGACGTCTGGGCCTATTGAGTCTTGGGTCGAGGATTGGCCTGTGTCCCCGGCCCTCTGCCATTTCCCTGTATATTAGATGGGCATTCTCTAGCGAAATGTCCTCCTGCCCCACAGGAAAAGCAATTTACATATCCTCTCCCTCTTCCACGTCCTCTGCCTGCATAAGACGGATTAGGGTTAAAATTCCTTTGAATTCCTCTACCCCCACTGGCCATTGGTCTTTGATCCATTTTGTACTTTATATCCTTAAGTGCCTTTTGCACATTTCCTAATTCTTCTTTAAAAGTTACCATATCAGAGATATTAATAGATGACTTTTCATCATTAATATCAGGTTGTTGGGTCACAATATTGACCCTTTTGGTCATGGTACGCCCTTTCTTTGTCTCCATAGTGACCTTAAGTTCTCTATGCATTTTGGCTAGTAGCATAGCTTCATGTAAATTTGGAGGACGCTGTAGGTAAATGGCTTGTCCAGCTTCTGGATCCAGCATTCCAGCGCAGAATCTGTTAACAGCCTCCGAATCCACAAATGATTTTGGTAAACTGGGGTAAGCTTGTGACGCGAGCCTTAGAACGCGCACACCCCATTCATCCACTGACTCAGTTTCACTCTGTAGTGAATTTTGGAGACGCGAACGCACAGTCACTGGTGTATCCGTTTCTCCATAGCACATCTCCAATTCTTCTAGGAGGCCCTTGTAGGTCAACATGCCTTCACGTTTGGTCACATTTACACAACACTCTTGTGCTTTTCCACTGAGGCATAAACAAAGTCCATCCAAGCACATGCTTGAATCCCAACCCTCTCTTTCTGCATGCCTTAAAAATACCAATTTAAAGGCTGCCCAGCTTGTCTTTCCATTGAAAGTTAGATTTTTGGGAGGGCATATCTTACGTCTAAATGCAGAAATATTCGGAATTGAAGGTTGATCTATTTGCATGGGAGATTCTTGCGAATGATAGTAATTCTCCCCCCCCATTGTGTTAATAGGAAATGCTGGCGTACTTGCAATATTTGGGCCAAAATTTGAATTGACAAAAATGGGGTTATCTTGGTTCCTTTGAACCTCAGGGTTGATTGACAAATTTTGTAAATGAGGATTCATTGGATTGCTTTGAACCTCAGGGTTAATAGTAACACTCTGAAAATGTGGATTCCTTTGAATCTCAGGATTGAAATTGGATGGAAAATTTTGAAAATGTGTCCTAGTCGGGTTCCTTTGAACCTCAGGGTATACATTTGATGAAACATGTTGAAATTGTGGCCTAGTCGGGTTCCTTTGAACCTCAGGGTATACATTTGATGAAACATGTTGAAATTGTGGAATATTCGGGTTCCTTTGAACCTCAGGGTATACATTTGATGAAACATGTTGAAATTGTGGAATATTCGGGTTCCTTTGAACCTCAGGGTATACATTTGATGAAACATGTTGAAATTGTGGACTAGTCGGGTTCCTTTGAACCTCAGGGTATACATTTGATGAAACATTTTGAAATTGTGGAATATTTTGAATTGGAGTTTTGAGATAAGTGCTTTCACTGGTCTCAGAATTTTTAGCTACAGACTGAAAGGGAGTTGATGCAGTTTGTAACAAAGTAGGCTTTCTTTTCCCCGAACTAAATAACTTTTTAGCGGATTGCCATAACCAATTCTGACCCAAATTTGGTATCCAATATGACCTAGAATCCACTGACCCAGATAAATGAGGGTTTGGAGAAAAATCTATCACACTAAGGGCCATTGGTGACAACTGAACTTCCAACCATTCCTCAACTAAATCTTTTGTTAAGTTACCCCTTTGAGTTCTTAACAAGTATAACAATCTGGCCTGACCTGACGTGACACCGGGAATGTCTTGCAATTGTAGGTCAGTGGCATAATTTATGTAAAATCTATCCACGTGACCCGCCATTTTGTTTTTCGGAATACTGTTCACTTTTGAACGAAACTACAAAGAGTACCCAAAATTTACAGTCAAATATCAAGATATTGCTATCAAAAGTATTCAATAATACTCACCAGTACTTTTACCGATAGTATTCTGATATAATATTGATATAATTATAGCAATGACCAAGTGAATCAAACTAAACGGGTAATGGCGCTTTCACCACTTACCTCGTGACCTAACTAATTTTTTCTCTTTTGATTTTTTGTAAAGGCTACGTGAGTTTGTACTTCCTCGTCGCCAATATAGAATTCCCTTTGGATTCTATTTAAGGTAATAACAAAGTCTCTTACCTTTTAAGCTCTTTAGCTTGTACCTAGTAGTCAATTTTGTAGTGTCTCGAATAGCACGTCTCTTCATATAGAAGTCCGGCATGTAATCTGTCTATCTGCCTCACTTTCAGTCCTCACACGTGATCTGCCTTTCCAGATTGAGACATAAACATACCCGTTGGCACTACAAGAGATTTTATGCATGAGATAATGTTCTGATCACCCGAGCGGTATACATAACGCATGCCAGAACATATATTAATGACATGTATTGCGAAAGGGTGGCAATGTATTATTTGGCATACATACCGAGAAAAAGAACTCCCAATTCACCATAAATTGCCCCTAAAACCGAATAAGGTGTTCCCAATATGTCGCTCTTGCTCTAGAGAGATTCATCCTTCAAGCTGGGACTGCTGCTGAACCTAGGCACCATGGTGAACTCGACTCTTTTTAGTGACATTTCTGATCATGTAGGGGGTTCGGAACATAGTCAAAGTCTCAGACAGATGCCCTTTTCAAGTCTAAAGGTGGAAAACAATTCTTAAGTTGCTTGGCTTATGGACATGCTTTAGGCTTTAGTGATCAGCATTCTGCCACAGTTACATAACATCTCAAGGTGTGTATATCCTGAGTATTTCTCAATGAACCGCCCTTGAGCTGTGTTTCCCCTCCACACCATTTGTCCCCCTCTGCGTAAACTCTCAATTTTACTTTTCACTCTCCCTAGCAAACACAGACCATTCTACAAACACTGAAGAATGAAGATTCACAGAATTCGTCACCATTTGCAAATGGTAAGTTATAATTTTTCCGATGCTAAGCTTATCACACGTTTATCTAGCTGACAGTAGATTGCACGCAGGGGCCTAGCAAAGCAAAAATGAGCGCACAATATATTAGATGAGCTGGCTTTTATATTTTGGGATGTTTTAATGATCCACTATTTCCATATAATTAAACCACACTTACAGACGATGACTCCCCTTTAATTGATTTTTTTTCGTTTAAAATGTTTGTTAAAAATAATATGTTTTAAATGATTTCAATTTGAAGAGATTATTTTGACAATAGTGTGACCGTTTAATTGCTTTGTCAAATACCTAGGTACATGTTTTGAGTTTAGAATTTGATTTCGATTCACCGTTAATCGTTGTATTTATCATTTGTACCAACTAATCTGTTAAAGGTGGTTGGGATGCGATAGGGAAGTTGATTGAACAGGCAGTGCACCCCGTGGAAGCGTCGTATCACTTTTATCAGCTAAATGAAAGGCTAAACGACGCAGAGGGGATGCTTCGTGACCTGTCGGCAGCGTCGGAAAAATCAGCCGAGGATGCACGAAAATGGTGTGAAGAGTACCTACAAAATGATACTTTCTGCACAAAGCTGAAAAACTACTTTCTGCCGTGGAAAAAACAAGAAGTTGAACAACAAGTGAAATCTTGGGAGAAAGCCCTGAAAAAAGATTCTCTCAAGACAATTGACGACATGAAAAATGGAATCCGAGAAGCTCGCTGTAACTATATTTACCGAAAGATTCAGTTCGATACAGCCGTGTGTGTCCTTTCTGTCGCTGCTTCAGTGTACAAGATGTATACTGACGTGACCACAGTGAGGGCATATAAGGAGGAGTTGAAAAGCATCGACGCTGAATTGAGCAGCATAGAGGAAGACATAAGCAATCTAGGCAACAGCATAAACACTATTGTCATGGAAATAACACAGGTAAATAATAATAAAACTGTAGTACTTCATATGAATTTATCTAATTTTGCATAAATGTTCATGATTAAAAATGACGAAAACAAATAGTTTATTATTATTATTATTTTTATTATTATTATTATTATTATTATGAATAAGGCGCATTCTTTGGGAAATATGTGCGACCATTACAAAAACCGACACTGTGACATAGTGTATGTTTATTGAATTTTTCCATAGAATAAACCTCTGTCGGAACCTCTTCCCATAATTGCTTGGAGGGCCTCCGATATCCGTCGCCGCGCCCTGGCTTGCATTGGCAAGCTCACGGAACAGCAAAAACAGCTGACCGGGAAAAGAAATGCTCATGCAGTGGAAGCAGGAAGAAAGTAAATAGAATTTAAAAAAAATAGTGAAAAATGTCCATAAATAAAAAAATTATATTTCAATGAAGAAGTATAACTTTTCGTATCCAGTGCATGTCAATTCATGTGCCTAATTATCCCAAATCAATGTAATAATTACATACATGTATTTTCTCTTATTCGTAATTGTGTTAAACGATCAGTGCTTATCAGAACATATCAATATTGAATCCATTCATTCATTCAATCATTATAGTATTACCATGAGCGTATTGAAGGGCTTTGAAGCTGCAATGACAGGTGACTTCGTATCCCCCGCCATGAATGTGGTCAACTTCGCCATCCCGGCAGTTTACGGCGCTGCAGGTGTCGGTCACTTGGGAGTGGCTGCCTACTGCCACAGCGTGTTAGTGGAGGTGGAAGCGAGGCTAAGAAAAGGAGAGGAACTACAAATAAAGTAAGATTAATACGACTTTTATTTTCTCAGACTCAGACTTCTGAGACTATGTATTTTGAGGGAAATTATTTATTAAGAGCTGATCGTGCCTTCAGCTCTAGTATGCAGCACCGAAGATGGCACTGAATCAGTGAATGCGCAGCTTATTAGGGGTTGATTTTATCCAGGAAAGATTCATCTTCATAAAAAATGACAAAATTTTTGCCGTTTCTTTTTAAAATCAGCTTTGAAAAGGTAAAGCGTGTTCCAACAATGATTTATAAAATGCTGTTTTTATCTAAAATGCGTAAGGTATGAACTGTGCGTCAGACCTCTACATATATTATTTCTGAAAATTTAGGCATTTTCCCCGCACACTTTCCCCGTCCAAATTTTAAACCGCCAATAAAATTCCGATCTAAAAGACCATTTTTGAGTTCTGAATTGCTTATTTTACCGCCATAAATAGAATTCACTAGCCTCTATCCCCATTATGAAGGTTACTCAGAAACCCTAAAAAAACGAGATAATGGCCCGTGATACTGCTAACAGTTCTGGATATGGTATACCTTAGTGATTAAGGGATTATTGCAAAAAAATCCAGAAAAATATTTTTTCTTTTGCCTTTTTAAGGTCTAAATCGCAGGTGTGCCTTAAATGACAAAATGTTAGCATAATACGGACTATTACTTTCAAGTGGCAAATTCTTTTTTCAGGCTAGATAAGAAGTTAAAAGATCTTGAGGAGTGGATTTCTTCAATGCAGCAATCACCAGGACAAGCCAGTTTAACCAATAATTAACTGATAACGTGTAAAAATTTTTCGCCAATTCCGACCATCTTGCTCTCTGTCAAAGCCATGTTGTGCCCCACTCAGGAGGATCGAAGACTTATGGTGGAGATATGCAAAATTATATAAATGTTTAGGCGAATACACTTATTATCAAGACATCATCTGAACAGTTTCCATGTTTTTGTGACTTTATCTTTTTTATGAGTGAAGAATGAATAAAGTGTTGGATTAAAAGAAATATCAGTCAACAAAAACCAATAGCGCCCCTTGTATTCGCACGGTCTGTTGAAAGTCACAACAAGTCACTTGGCCTTGGGCATGGTGTCAAAAAGTGTACCTGAGAGAGACGGGGTGAAATCTATCTCCTGAAAATTGCCATCTAAAATAATGGTTGAATTGCGTCAATTTTCGTTACAGTTTTAACACATGCTATAGTCGTAAAAATTATTAGAATTCAGAGAAGAAAAAATGGTGCTTGGTTGTTCCTAGAGGTTTGTTCTTGTTACTATATAGTTACCGTCTATTCATTTATCATATTTTATATATCAAGCTCATTTATCATAATTTATTTCGGTATAATTAGATCTTCACGGTGACTTTACCTAATAGTATTGATTCTATAATGGCTGCACCAAAACTACATTAAGAATTTAAAAACTGCTTAATCAAAGATAAATATTCAGTCAATATTATAACAAGGTACATAACCAATGCTGTTGCAGACTATGTCGTTTGTGGCTTAGAATATTTTTGTTTACCACACATGCTAACGTAACAAGACTTATTCTTTGTGTTCAATTCAAACGATTTTAAAATATTTGAAACGTTCAATTGCATTTTTGTCAACCTTAGTTTCAGAAGTACCGTGTTTTTAGTATATGGGGTATGTTAGTAAATAATGCATTTCATGTGTAGCTTCTTCCGCATACATTTGGCAAACTTTTTCAAACGGCAGTTTCTGGTTTTTCAATATCCGTCTTATTGGACTTCTTACTTTTACACCCCATCTTTATTATGTCACGTTGGGCTGTTAACTAGTGCTACATTTATATTTCTCAATTTTTTTAAAAAAATAATGTGTATGCAGAGTATGCCATTTTTTTTAATTAGTTTCTTATGTTGTAATGGTTTGCAATTGCATTCTCCAATTCATGTTTGTATTAGCCAGTGCTGGTAACGGCTTTCGTGGCTTCACCAATTTGCCAAACGTTTTTTTTTTTTTTCATTTTATGTAAAATATGTTAATTGTGCAGAGTGTAATTGTATTAACTTAGTGTTTTTACATATTTTTCTATTCATTTTTTAAATTTATTTATTTATTTCATTTTTTTTTAATCACTTTTTTCTCATTTGCTGTTGATCACAGTCATGCACACGCGTATGTAAAATAAATTGGTTCCTATGGAAGTTTGGACTTCTCTTCGAGGCCCTTGTAAATTTTATGGAAAAAAAACTAGATGTCTATAGTATAAAATTTTTACAGTCTAATTAGAGTTATATCTAAAACTCAAAACCTTATTTTTCTGATATATGTAAGACATTTACAAAGAGAACTTAATAACATAGTTTAATGTGAAGCTGAAACATTTTGGATTGTTATCATACATGATCTTTACTGAGACAATTTAAACTGGTTTCATCAATAAACATCTATTTGATGTGGAATATACTTAAAATTTTTTTTTTAACTAATTGAGAAGTTGAATGAATTTTAATAGAATTAATCTTAATCTATGGGCAGGCTCTCTGATTCTAAATATGTCATTTCTTAACATATGTACATATTTACAAAAACTTATCTTAGTAGCAAATAATCCGATTCATAAAGTAATTTTATTAAAACAAATGAGAAAGCTTTTCTTAATCTGAAAAAAAAACTGCACTTTCAGTGTTAACAGAACAATATGAACAAACATGTTATATTAACTTTAAGGATCTACCTTTAAATTAACAACCCTTAATTTGATTTGCTATCTTTGAAAATTTACTACTTGGGGTCCCAGCTCTATGCAATGTTGTCCTTGACATCCTTGTAATAAAATGTAGGTTTATCTTTACTACATCCATAGTAACAGCACCAGTCTTGGTTGCCTTGACAACTTTGTATTTTGGAATATGCCAAGCCTTGTCTGTGAAAGAAGCCAAAACATTACACAACGTATACATTAAGTACTAATACTGGCATAATTAAATATCACCGTCTAAATAAC